TCTCCACTCCCAGTTAACAGACACTGGGTCCACACTGGAAACAGAAGCATTCTTGCCTGATGTGAGAGTTGCTACATTTTTCTTAGCAACAGATGAGATATTTTGGGTAAGCAGTCTTACTTTATACAGATTGTATATATGTACTAAGTCCTGAAGTTGTTTGGAAACCTAGTGTACCAAAAGCATCATCAGTGACCTCCAATAATGTGCCGTGTATCTCAGTGCCTAGAGAGTCACTTCCCGTAGAAGGTAAATACCAGGTTCATCTGTCCACGTGACTGACATAAGGGCAGGTGCTAAGAGTTCATTACACAGTAGAAGTATTTATTTACTGATGCCGATATCAGCACTACCACCTCCACAGTAGTAACCGCCATCACCACCATCATCATCATCTGTAGCACCACCATCATCACCACAGTCGTTACCACCATTGCCATCATGACCATCATTACCGCAGTCATCACCATCAATCTGGACCTGAGAAGATTCAATCATAGCAGAGCTGGTGCAAGAATTCCCAAGAGGTGTTGTCCAGAAAAACACATGAAGTTGCTTTGTTTTAATATCCTCCTTAGCATTAATTTGTAAGAAATCATCCTATGTTTGAATAAAAAATAAAGTATAATAACATTAATGAATCTTTACGTGTCAGAACTTTGGAATGAGAAAATCAAATGCAAACTTGGCCCAGGTCTCCCACGAATAATCTGTAGTAGTTTGCAGTAAGCAAACCTTTTCTTGTGCCTTAATTGTCACACAAGTCTGGATTTATTCTCAAATTAAAGGCATTATTGTTAGTACATTTAGTTTTAAAGACGTATGCAACACTCTAAAACAATTTATATTTCAGTTTTCTAATCACAAAAAAGTGACACTCCACTCTTAAAATATTGATGCTCTAAATATTTTCCATCCTGTTGTTTTTATAACTATTTACATGGCCATACCACTAGTTCCTTCTGTTTAGTGATGCGGCGGCACACTGTTTAGTCTGCTTATGTTGACCTTATAATCTCAATATCATATCTAATTTTACTGAGTGCATCAGTGTCAGGCGCGCTCGGTACTTTCTAGGCCTTCCAATGTTTGTCCTGTTTCATTTTACTTTTTTTCAGAAACAGCAGTTCTTCTAAGCAGTCTTTTCCCAGAGTTTCCAGACAGCAAAGCATTTTAGAAACTGAATGGATCCCCAGAGCAGAGGTTAGAATTAATGAGACCCCTCACTGTGAGCAGTAATGCTTTGGGTGGCACAGGAGCATGGGTTCCACCAGACAGCTGTACCTGTGGATTCCCATGCCGTATGAGGCTATCACTTCTTAGAGTAGTAGTTCTCAACCTTCCTAATGCTGTGAGACCCTTTAATACGGTGTGGTGACTCCCAATGATAAATTTATTTCATTGCTACTTTATAACTGTAACGTTGCTACTATTATGACCTGTAATATAAATATTTAGGATATCTGTATGTGACCCTTGTAGGGTTTAGGTTATAGGTTTAGGTTGAGAACCACTGTCTTAAGTGTCTGGGCTAAATGGAGTCCATCTGAGGCGCCAGAAATGAGTTCACTGTTCCCTCACCCATGCTGGGTCCACCTAGAACCCACCTTGTGATCTAAATGATGGGGTGAGGGTTCTTCATGACTATTCTTCCTGCTTCCTGCATTCATGTCTTAAACGGCTCATAGAGGTCACCACCCAGGACCCAGACCTCTGTCAGGGATTTCTGTGGTGCAAACATGGCCAACCCCTGCAGTAATCCACTTGGGTACTGGGAGATGAGCATTAGCCCTCTGCTGTCCTGCCTTGCCAGCTTAGGTGACTCTCAGAAGCACACTGCATTAGCTGCTGTACTTAACAGCATAGTGCTATGGTGAGCACACTAGACTGTCTATTGATTCATTCAGAAGTCACATTTTAAGTACATGGTGAATAGTCCCTTGAGCACAGATCTGATAGGTGGAATTTGAAGAAACTAAATACACGATGGGAACACAACAGAGATGAGGATCATGAAGGGATATCATGGAAATTGAAATGAAATTGTTCTGTTGTTGAAATATTTCTCCTGGCTAAAAATCATTACCTTGGCCTCCTAAATTACGACAATGATAGGGGTGTACTACAAAAGGTATACTGCAATTTGTCGTGGAAGTGCATCCTCCACCGCCATGAAGAAGGCAGAAAGTCAGGCCCACTTTATTCTGGCAACACTGACAGTCGCTAGGTGATAGGGGCTTCAGTTTACTGGGTAAGGGACTGGATCTGTCACTTGAACACCAGTGCTGTTCTGAACATAAAAAAGGACAATAAAACCCATTCCACAGTTAAACACATTTTCTTTTATTTATACAGAAGATGGAATACTTAAACAACCAAACACCCATGAGAGGCAAGATGTGTGTGTATGTGTGTGTGTGTGTGTGTGTGTGTGTGTGTGTGTGTGTAAGAGGGGGGTATTGGGTGTTGATGGTTGATGTAGATGTGCTTTTGTTCTTATCACAGTCTTTAAAAGGTAGTTGTGTCCTTCTGCCACAGTGTGAAGTTTGGTAAGTGAAATCAAGCCAGACGAAGAAAGGCACCTCATGGTCTAACTTACACAAAATGAAGATTAAGACTCTGGAATCTGAAATCCACCCAAATATGAAACTCATGAGTAGAAAATCTCATAGCATGAAACTGTTTAATGCATAAATACTTTAAGATCATACAAATGGTCTTTGTACCATGTGTACAGTGTATGTAAGAGTCAAATGGATGATGTGCTGGAGCCGTGAGGTATTCCCCAAAATACTTCATTGTGAATATGCAAACAGCCAAACACCCATGTATCACTCACAGGTTCAGAGTTGACTAGAATCCTGTTTCAAAGGGAGGTGACAAAGGGAGGCTCTCGGGGGAGGGTGTGAGGCCTGGTGTCAGTTTGACAGGATCTGGAATCCTACAGAAGATGATTTTGCCTTTGTCCATACCTATGAGGGATTCTATTAACAAGGCTGAGGTGGGAAAACCCACACTAAAACCAGGCAGGCAACCTCATTCCCTGGGTTTGGGTCCTGGGTTACCTACAAAGGGAGAAAGCCACCCTTGCTTTCTTCCCCTGACTGTGGACAAAATGTGACCAGGTGTAAACTTCAGTCACTAGGACTTCTCCATGATGGACAGTACACTCAACCCAAAATGAAACCAACTCTTTCTCCTTTAAGTGGCTCTTGTCAGAGTACTTTATCATGGCAATAGGAAAAGAGTCTCACCACGTAAGGTACATGGCATGACCTGCTGACAAAGTCAAAGTACCCTTGGTCAGTTTTGAATTGGAGTCAGTGTCTGCCCAGATTCCATGCTCCTGGTCCCTATGTTAGGGTATGAATATTTTTGGTACCCAAAGGTAGCAGGGTACCCATCTATATTGTAGTACTATCTATGTTGGACTACTCACCTCTGATGTCTTCTTGAACAAAGAAGTGGAATGTAAAGATTCCATTTTCATTCTGCTTTGATGGTGACAGTGGAGCACAGGGGCAGATCCCAATGTCTAATATAAGGATGCTCTGTGATTCTACTCAGCTCCCTACTGAGTGTCCTCACCTGGAAGCATGGGGGACACCGTGGAAGTTTCCTCTGTACCTATGCACAAGATCTCCCAGGTATGACATAGTTCAGTTAAATAAAATTAACACCCTTGTTGGAAGGATTCTGGGCTTTGGATACAAATCTTCTTCTACTGAGGACCCAGTGACAAATAATTCCTTGTGAATGACAGTTGGTTTTGAATTACACCATCTGGTTCTAGCAAATAAGGAAAAGGTTGATGTATCTGACCATAAATCCAAGCAATAGCATATGATTGCTTACATAGTGAGAAAAATATATTCGAGGACACAGCAGGAACTTCTCCAAGCCAATCAGTGACTCAGATAGGATTGTCATCACTCAGCCTTTCAGGGCATTTGTGTGGTGAGTGCAGAGCCCTGCAGGTCATCAGTGACTGGAAACACTTCTTGAAATTGAAGCTAATTATTGCAAGTATATTAACAACTACAAATGAGATAGTGTGTGTGTGTGTGTGTTTGAATGACACTATTGTATTAGAGTGTTTCATAGTGGTTTTTATGTAATCTCTCCTATTAAGACGTCAAAGGTAGAATTTCTTAGTATGTTGAACTTCATGTTTATGTTATCATGTACCATAATGGTCAGATCATGACTAAGTCTATTTTTCTAAAATCCAGCCTATAGCAGGGATACCTATAATCTTAGCACTGGGAGGCTGAGGCAGGAGGGTTGCAAAGTGGAGGACAGCCTCGGCTACTTTGGGAGGGTTTCTCAACAAGTAACAACAGAATGTGTACCACATTCTATTTTTTTACTCTCCCAGGATAATTCTTTTAAAATTTTCAAGCATTATATTTTCAATCAATTAAAACTCAAAATACATTTCTAAAATATAAGGATTCTTAAAAATAAAAGGTCCTAATATTCCCCCCAAAATATGGTATCTCCTTAGTATTATTTAAGATGCAGCAAATCCCCAAATGTCCCTGATGGCATACTATTTATATACTGACTAAGTTTTTTCTCATCTACAGAAACAGAGAGCTCTAGATTGCTGTGGCTTTTTACCCCTTCTAGGCTAGACTTGCCTCTGGGACTCTCATGCTATACAACCTCCACTAGTCCAAACTTTGTAGCTGGAGTCCATGAAGACTCTTTTCTTATCACAATTACAGCATTCAGTTTGCAATGCTCTCTAAGTCTCAAATTTGAAACAGCTTTTAATTATCTTCTTGCTGGAAAAAAAAAGAGAAAAAAACCACTTCCTGGGTTCTATGGGAACCTCATTAAACCTGTTTGTCCTTCTTTTTACTTCTATTTGATACTTACTGTCATTACTTTCAGCCTTTATTATGAAAGGTGCTTTTTAAATTATGATATTGCAATTTATATTTTTAACATCATAACTGATTATTTCTGTAGTGAGTCCTCGACATCTGTTCTAGATTGAAGGATTCCCCGAAGACATCCTCCTTTCTTCACTTCTGGAAACTGACAGCTACCTTATTGGGAAAATGTCTGTGCAGATGCCCTTAACTAAGATCCTCGAGGTGAGGTCAGCTAAACGTTCTGGGCATGCCCCAAGCTCATGACAAGTTGACATCATGATGAGGGCACAGGGCCAGACAGAGAGAAGAGATGGTCACACAAAGATGGAGGCAGATGGGATACCAGCTCACTCTTTCCTGATGACCACAGGAAGGACCTACGCAAGCCTCTAAGGTATGTCATCCTGCCAAACACACCTGGACTTTGGATTTTTTTTCACCTTCAGAACTGTGGGAACAGGCATTTCTGCTGTTTAACTTGCTTAATTGTAGCATTTTGCTACAAGAGTCACAGAAATTCAAGGGCACAATTTGCCTGGAATGAATGTCTGTTTAAGAAAACCAAGGTGGATCATGATGACATTTGGTCAGTATTTTAAAATAATAGGTTAGATTCTTGGCATCATCCCAACATGGTGAATTGAGACTTGGATTTCAGGAATTTTTGAACATAGTTCATGTCTGCCAGCACCTAGATGTTTTCCTCTAATTGCTTCTCCCTCTATGCCTGTGACCACAGGGCTCACAAAGTCCTGTCTGCAGCAGTACTCCGCTTACAGAAAACACAAATGCTCTGGAATCCTCAGTTTCCACACCCTACATCTGGACTCAGTAAGTATTCTTCAATATATATACACACCGTGGTGTGTACAATAACTAAATCACAGGCACACTCTGGATTGCAATATTAAGTTTACTACTATCTGATGAAAATTAGACAGTCAATTTTAATACCTTCATTCAACTTCATTTTTTTTAGCTACTAAGTAACAGGGCACAAATAAAAACTGTACATATTAAAGTGTGCAATGTTTTGACTTGGCACACACATATGTCATGAAATGATTGGGATAGCTAAATCCTTCCAGGGCCTTTGCTTTCATTCTTACTCAGTTTCCTTTCCTTTTCCTTTTAATCATGAGAACATGTCATGTCGCGGTGTCCTTAATGACCCAGAGCTACTGTAAAGCAAAGGTGTGCCCCTGGCCACTTTATTTTAACCTCTTTCTCACATTCACTCTGTTGTTACTGAGAGAAGAGCCAAGAAGTGAGGAAGCTGATTCTAGAGCCAAACTTAAGATGGAAATGGAATCGGAATATAACCGTTGGCTGCAAATACAACACGAAGAAGACTACATAGACAACATAAGCTTAGATCAAAATTTTGTGTTTGTAGAGTTGGTGCAAGTATGTGGTATGCGTGTGTGTCTATGTGTGTGTGTAGGGATGCATGCATGTTATGAATGTGTTTATGCTCCTGTATGTATGGTGTGGGTGATCATGTAATATGGTGTGTGTAGGAGTGTGTGTGTTACACAAAGGTATGTGTGCATGTGCATGTGTACAGGGGTATGTACATGCAGGCAGGACCAGAGAACACCACTCCTCTATCTATCTCTTTCCATACCTCACCATCCTCCTCTCTCACTCCCTACTTTATTCTTTTGAGGCAGAGTCTCTCTATGAACTTGGGATTCACACTGTGTTTTCTCAGCTAGACTAGAAGCCAGCAAGCCTCCCCAAATCCTGCTGTCTCCACCTACTTCAGTAAAAGCATTACAGGCGGGACCAAGACACCCAGCTTGTCACATGAGTTCTGGGCTCCTCGTGCTTTCAGGCAGAGGCTCTTCACCACTCAGTTATCTCCACAGCCTTAAAAGGAAGGGGTTTGCCATTTCTAAGGTCTTATAGCAGTCAACTCAGCTAGAGAATTCTGAATGTCAAGAACTTCAAATCTCTAGGAAATAGACTACACTTTACATGACAGGATGATCTTTTTCTATCCACAATTTACAGTTCTTGCATATCTAATGAAAATGTGATTAATAAAAGCAGAATGCCAAACACACTGTATTTATAAGCTGGACCATTAATTACTGTAAATATCATTTCAAATTGTGATAATTGTGAAATAGGAGTATGGGAGTAAATGTTCCATAAAAAATATTAATACATTGACTACTTCTGGTAACTCATTCAAAGAAGTTTAGTTCTCTGCTTAATCAGAGCCCAGAGGCTAAGCTGGCCACAGAAGGATGAGGAAGGCACACCCCTCCCTAACTATGGATGCTGTTTTCAATATCTGAAAACAGGAGTTGAAGTCCAAAAATGAGTGACGCAGCTTGATGAGGCATATCTGCACTTTCTCTCTAGAAGGTGTTCTAATTTCTTGTGGGTGTGCATGTGTGGAGTCCATGAATACATATGTGGAGGAAATTTGTGATGTTCTGATGTCCTGTGGGTGTGCATGTGTGGAGTCCATGCACACATGTGGAGGACAGAAACTGATAGGTGTCCTTTCTTTCCAGCTTTATTTCAAGACACTCACAACCTGGGAGCTTGCTGTTTAAACTTCATAGATTAATCAGTGAACTCCAAGGATCTACCTAACTCCTCCTCCTGTCCCCACAACACTGGATTTATAGATCTATGCTGCCACACCCAGATTATCCTTGGTGCTGGGGACACAAATAGAGTTCCTCTTGCTTGGGCAGCAGGTGCTTCATCCCACCATCCATCTCCCCAGGCCGCAGGCTTCCTGTTCTGCAGAATTCCGACAGCACGTTGTCCTGCCCTCAGCCTGGACACCCAGAGCTACTCCAGAACTGCCAGTACCTGCTGCATTCCTTAATCCTCTCATATGTGACCACAAATGCTCAAGACTGGTATTCTGTATGTATAACCTACAAATCCACTAACTTATAACTAAAAGAAACCCACCCCACCCACCATGTCAGTAATTCCAAATATCATGAGTTCATACAAACTCATGAGATTCCAGGATTCTGCTGCACTCTTCAATTTCCTTCCTACCTGATATGTTCTTGAAGTTTAGAAGTTCCATCTCTGGACTGAGTTACTCTTTCTTTCTCGGTGTTTTCTCTGGGGCTGTTCTGTTTGCCTCACACTTCTCATTTTAAATTCTGATGCTTCACTTTGCATAGTTCTGTTACTATGCTGAGTTTCCCATTCGTTTGTTGAGAGCACACTCAGTTTCTCTTCACTGAGCGTAAGTGCAATGACTTCTTTAAATCCATGTCATCAGCTCAACATCTGGACTGTTCCAAGTGGATTTTGGCTTATTTCTTTTCTATTGAAAATCTACTCCATTTTCTTAGTTCTTTATATGTCAGGTCATTTGGGATTACACCTTAGAAATTGAGCAGGGTGAGCTATGAGGACCCTTCTCCTCTTTTCCTGTATGTTGACACATTCTTTACTTGGCTCAGACTGGCTACCCTCTTCAGATTGTCTATTGCTGATCTGATCTGAGCTTTTCCTAGGTATGATTTTCATCTCAATCCCTGATGTTAGGAAATCTTGGAATCTACAATATCACCCTACATACACATCTTATATTTATATTTTTTCTGCTCTCACAATCTTTCCATTTTCTCTTCTGCAGAATTTCCTAAGCTTTGGGAGGGATGGTACAGAAATCCCAGAAGGCAGATCCTTCTGGCAAACTGAGGCTTAGCCTCACATTCGGTGATGGAGCCAGTATCCCTATCTCCAACACAGTCATTTCAAAGGCAAAGAAACTGAATCCTAAACTCCTGAAGATGTGTCCCATATGTCCAAGGGTCATCAGCAGAATCAAAACTAGACTCAGGGCTTCTATCCTGGTTGACATTCTGAGTCCCAGATGTTACCTTCACAAAATAAAGCACCATACATAGTCAAAAGATACCAGTAAGTGTACCAGTCCAGATTTATCAAAGAGACTGGGTTTGTGATGATGAACTTCTCCCAAACAGAACTAGGGTGCTGAGGTTTGGTGGTAAATTCTGCCAGATGATTAGAGGAAAGTTAATACTAAGCAGACAGAAACCCTTCCAGAAAATGTTACCCAGAAGCATAAGGATGTGAACCAGGATGGAGAAGATCTGACTCAGGAAAACATGACTCTCTGAGCACTTCTGCATGACAATCATTCACAGTAAAACAAAATGCCACACAGTCCCGTCAATAAGCCTGCAGTGAACCCTGACAGACCACAACAGTTGTGTGTTATTAAAGCCATCCTAATGTCACCTATCCAGTGGCACCAATCTAAAGAGGAAGACCCTGCTTTCCTGCTAGGATGGATACTATCTCAGGAGCTTTCATCCTGCCATTGAGCAAGTACACACAAGCCTAAGGAATAGAGTGGAAGGTAATATACAGAAGTAGTAAAAAGCAAAAACAAAGAAAAAAGCAGATGGATGCTTTGATGCATTGATGGATTCAAACTATGCCATCATAAAACCATGAGAAAGAGTGTAAGAACTAAGAAATGTTCTTAGTTTTTAACCCTCCCCCTGCACAGCACCCCTTAAAGGGGTAGGAATTTCCAAAGCTTCCTGAACAGACTGCCCTATATAGACAGACACAGGGATTCTGAAACATATGTCTTGGAAGGGTGAGTCCCTCCAAACACCTGGAATGTATAAAACAATTGATGACATCAGAGGCTGGTGGGCTAATCCCATCTGGTCTTAGTACACTCTCTACTGCCACACTCAGGGAGTGATACACTGCCTGACCTCCCAGGTGCTTGACAATCCACCTTTCCCAATTCCCCACTCTGTGAAACCCTTTGTGCCTGAGAAATCCAGAAATTGCCTTGTGACCTTGGCTGTAGAGATGTAGCTAATAATCAACAGTGTTTGGAGGAAGGTTAACACGGAATCACTCGACACAGTCAGCCCCTACACAGTAGATTTTCATGTCAGGATTTGATCGGGCAGGCAATGACAATGGGTGAAAAGAACGTCGTTAGAGGGACAAATAAGAACTGCAGTGAGCATGGTCCATGCTAGGAGGTGGCCATGCACACACCTACCCTAGAACATGCAGACCACACACCTACCTTAGAACATGCAGACACAGACCTTAGGCACTGAAGCTGATGGAGATTAGGGAAGCTGCAAAGAGCACCACTGCCACAGGGTTAGCTCTAGGTGCTCTGAGTTACTGCTCATCACCAAAACACCTTTTAAAATTCTGGTGGGACTTCTGAGAGATGCCAGTGTCGTAAAAATGAAAATGTGAAATACTACCCCAGCACAAACAATGGAACATGCTGACATTTTGAAAATTGTGCTCACTGCCATGAGCTGGTAGTTCTCACGCTGAGGATGTGATTTCATTTTACACTTTTCCCACAAAGGATGCCCACATCTTTCTCAAGGAACACAGTACTTTCCCTCCATCTTAACTAAGTTTTATTTTCAAACTATATGGATAATAGGGTGACTATAAACACATAGGATAAATTGGGGCAAATATAAATATGGGCTAGGAAAATCATAGCATTGTATCAATACTCCCAGTATATTGGACAACAAGTAAAAAATTGGAGTTACATTGAAGCTCAACTGTTGGCAAAAGATGACCCTGCTTAATTATCAGCTTGATTGGACTGGCATGCATTTTAGACTTCAGTAAAGAATACATTTAGGTGAGCCTCAGGGCATGGTTCCAGAGAATACTGGCTAAGGGGTGAAGGGTGTTTCTCACCATGGACAGCACCACTGTAGAGACCAGGGGTAGAATGGAATAGAAGAGAGGGAAGGAGAAAGCTCAAGGTCACAAGTCTCACCCTATCCCATTCCATCATGACCTTCTTGGCATGTGTGGTGTTTTGTTTTTTTTTTTTTTTGAGGGACAAATGTGTATTTGCATTTCTGAGTCTGTCTTATTACTCTTGAATGATAATCTGCAGTTGTGTCTATTTTCCTGCAGATGTTATAATGCCAGTCTTCTTTATAGATGAACAAAATTCCGTTTCATGTAGGTTCCACACTTTGGTTATCTAGTCTTCTGGTGATGGATATCTAGGCTGGTCCATAGCTTGGCTAATGTGGACAGCACTGTAAGTACACATGGATGTGCTGACTTAGGATTCTTTAGAAGTGTGTCCAGGAGTGCAACAGCTGGGTCAGGCTTTAGTTTTAGCGGTTTTATTTATTTATTCATTTTTATTTATTTATTTACTTATTTTTGTTTTTCGAGACAGGGTTTCTCTGTATTGCTTTGGAGCCTGTCCTGGAACTTGCTCTGTAGACCAGGCTGACATCAGATTCACAGAGATCTGCTTGTTTCTGCCACCCGAGTGCTGGGGTTAAAATCATGTGCCACCAATGCTCAGCTTGCTGTTTTATTTATATTTTTTTTTAATTTTATTTTCCAGTTTAAATTTAGATAAGAATCAAGGTTGCTTCACAAGTCAGTTCCAGGTCCCTCTCCCATTCCCTCCCTTCCTCCCATGCCCTCCCCCCCCGTTATCCCCTCATTTCTCCAGGGAGGGTGAGGCCCTCCATGGGGGTGTCCATAGTGTGTCATTTCATATAGGGCAGGGCCTAGACCCTTTCCCAAGAGTTCAGGGTGAGAGTGCACCTCACATTGTTCTATTGGAGTCCAAAGTCTGTGTGTATACTTGGGATGGGTACTGATCTGCTGCCCAAGGCTCAATAGATTCCCTAGGCCTCTTCACTGACACCCAGATTCAGGGGGTCTTGATCAGTCCCATGCTGGCTTCCCAGGCTAATGCCTGGGATTCAAGAGTTAACCTTTGTCAGGTCAGCTGTTTCTGGGGTTAAACCAGCCCAGTCTTAATCCCTTTGATCATCAGTCCTCCCTCTCTGTTACTGGCTTTCTTGAGTTCAGCTCAGTACTTAACCAAGGGAGTCTGCCTCTTCTTCGATCAGCCACTAAATAAAGTTTCTGTTTCCCAGACTCTCTGGCCATAGGATTGTAGGCTGGCACTCCCCAGATCTATGTCTAAAATCCATATATGAGAGAGTACATGCCATGTTTCTCTTTTTGTGACTGGGTTACCTCACTCAGGATGGTTTCTTCTAGTGTCATCCATTTGCCTGCGAATCTCATGATTCCATTATTTTTTTCTGCTGAATAGTACTCCATTGTGTAGATGTACCACATTTTCTCTATCCACTCTTCAGGTGAGGGACATCTAGGTTGCTTCCACGTTCTGGCAATTACAAATAAAGCTGCTATGAACATAGTGGAACAGACATCTTTGTTGTATGAATGGGCATCTTTTGGATATATGCCTAAGAGTGGAGTTGCTGGGTCTTGTGGTAGGTTTATTCCCATTTTTCTGAGGAATCTCCACACTGATTTCCAAAGTGGCTGAACCAGTTGGCACTCCCACCAGCAATGTAGGAGTGTCCCCTTTCACCACATCCTCTCCAGCATAAATTGTCATTGGTGTTTTTGATTTTAGCCATTCTGACAGGAGTGAGATGGTATCTCAGAGTTGCTTTGATTTGCATTTCCCAGATGGCTAAGGATGTTGAGCACTTTCTCAAGTGCCTCTCAGCCATTTTAGACTCCTCTATTGAAAACTCTCTATTTAGTTCTGCAGCCCACTTTTGAATAGGGTCCTTTGGTGTTTTGGAGACTTGCTTCTTGAGTTCTTTGTAAATTTTGGAGATCAACCCTCTGTCAGATGTGGGATTAGTGAATATTTTTTCCCATTCTGTGGGCTGCCTTTTTGTCTTGCTGACTGTGTCCTTTGCCTTACAGAAGCTTCTCAGTTTCAGTAGGTCCCATTTATTAATTGTTGATCTTACTGCCTGTGCTACTGGTGTTATGTTCAGGAAGCTGTCTCCTGTACCAATTCGTTCAAGGGTACCACCCACTTTCTCTTCTAAG